GTCTCCTCCAGGCATTCCACAGCTCTCGTGCCATTTTGGATCACGGAACATGGCTGGGCGCAGGACAGGTCAGGTCGTCTGCGAGCTTGGACGGACCACGTGACCACCTCCTCCACTTCCCCTCACTCCCGTCCCCTTCCCCAGCAGGGCGTCCGATCTAACCGCGCCCCAGGCAGTCGGCTCGGTCCGACCCTCCCCATGGTCGAGCCACGGCCCGGTGCCGCCTGAGTTTGTGCCGGGTGCAAAACTGGAGCAGTAACTAGCGCCGGAACTAGTAGTCAGCACGACCATCGTCAGATGGCAGGAGTAAATGGAATAAGCGGTTCCAGGTTTCAGAAGGAATGGGGCAGGAAAAACCGCTGAAAACATTGTTTTGCTGATATAGCCATAAAAAGTTCACTGAATTAGGAGAGCAGCACATCAGTTTAAAAGCCCTTCAGATGGTGGTTTTAATAAGCACACAATCATTTCCCAATTCACCTCCAACGGTGTCACAGGCAAAGAATACGCTGAAATACTAGTGTGTACAGAAGCAACTGCGGGTCCCTGTACAATAATTTTGATACTTGGCAGTTGAGATCAGGTACATTTCCGTGATTGTTGTGGGAAACTTGTGAGGTTATCTGGGGAAATACTGTGCAGTGCAATATTATGTTTCCGAAGTTTTGCACAACGTTTCGGGGTTGTTTTGTGCGCGAATTGCATGTACGGTAAGAGGACGCACTGGTCAGGAGGGTAAGAGTACGCAGAATTATACATTAAATCGAATATACAGAAATATAAAATTATTAATATATCGCTCAATGACGTTTGTTTTGTAGGTACAGGGTGTAACGAAATTATCCGGACATCTATTTTTTCGCCATATCTGCTCGCACAGTTTCTCTTTTATTGTCAGAAGCTGGAAAATTGGATGAATGCATACCTCTGGTATTTGCTCTCAACTCAGCAGTGACCTGACCTTGCGAAATGACTCTTGCTCTGAGTAAGAGTCGAGTCGCCGACGGGTTCATTTGATAGTTTTCGTTTAAGGCAGTGGAGAGAAAGGAGTACAGTCTCTCGTTTCGTAGTAAGGCTACGTGTTGGTGGCATGGTGGCATGAGCCAGGAGCTGGTCTGTCAGCAGCTGGACATCAGCAGCAGCCAGTAGCACATCTGCCTGAGGCGTAATAAGCTGGGACTTGGTGGCAGACTCAGCCCGGCCTCGATCGCAAAAGGCGCCCTTTGCCAAGTGGTGAGGAGAGTTGTCAAGATAGCGACAAGGAAACGGCACCAATTAATCCGCATACTGACTCGAATTCTTACCAAGGTAGATAATAAGAGGTCCCACATCATGATTCACCGTTACCCGCCCTTTAGCTTGGTTTTGCTGCCCTTCAAACTGGAAAAGACAATGGAATTGACGGGAAAACAACCAGTCTACCACCTTTGGCTTCAGGCCAGGGCGTGTCCACTGGTCGAAGGAAGACACGAATGAGGTGACCTGGTCGGATGGGAAGCTGTTCGAGCTGCGATACCCGTTGAACCGTCAAATCGGCCATGTGTGGGCTGCCAGCAGCTCGAATGTGCCGGCCGTCGCCGGCGTCAAACATCCGGCCAAAATCCAGAACTGGAGCATGTTCAGCTGCTGTGTAATATTCAAGCTGTTCATGACGACACAGAAAACCACTATCAGTGACGAGTATTACCGGCGCAACATCCTGGCTAGCGATTGGTTGGAGCCACTCAACCAGACGGCACAGGATGGCTCGGTTTCTTAACATGTACCGATACCTGATTCAAGCCGCGCAGTCTTCATACGGGGCGGCGCACCACCTTCAAGTCCCTTGCAGAATGAGAAGTGATGCCGAGAGGACCTTTTTGTTCTTCTGGGCTAAAGGGCTATGGCTTGGAAATAGTTCCCATGCAATTCCGTCGATATATTATGGACTATTGTCCATCAGGAGATGAATGAGGGGACACCCGCCACCAGCGCCGCCCAACTGCGGGCACAGGTTAGTAAGGCGCTACTCTATATGAAACCCACTGTGCTGGAAAATCCAGTGGCTGGAATGCTCCAAAAATGTGTACCTGCGCTCTTATGAAAGGTGGCTATATAATAATTCAAAAGGGAAAATATCAGAATGTCTTGCTTCTTAATTACAGCGCGAAGAAAGATGTCCGGATAATTTCGTTACACCCTGTATATCATCAATGGGGCACTGTGATGCAGATGCGTACCCGAAATTCTTCCAAATACGAGTTATTCTCCCTTTGATTGTGCATTTTTTTTAAGAAACACACTACGTGATTATTTCCTGATTTATAGACGTGAAATATTTATTTTAAGTTTTTCTTTTTGGATACTAGACTTAACTTAAATGCCTTCTGAGTTTGAAGTTAAGCATTTGGACACTTACAAGCTGCATAGGTGTGTGTTCATATGCTTGCGTACTCCACCCGCCTGGTGTGCGTACTCTTACACACCCCATATGGTAAGAGTACGCAACTGCAGCGGTTCAGAAAATGTCAGTTTTAGACCACTTCCATTTACGCTGAAGGATCGTTGCCCCATGGGTTGATGGCTAATTCAATGAACTTTAATATTCCCTATTTGCGATTTCTTTCTTTCAAATGTTAAACAAATGAGAGCAAGAAATCCACTAAGTGCGTACTCTTATACGACTTCACCCTATGACTGGGAGGGGGAGGGAATAAAAAATGTCAGTTTGTATCTGGATGGGTCAAAGATTGATGAAGGGAGAGATTGGGATGGAAGGGAAGGGAGGGGGCATCCGTTTATACATTTTAAGCACGAGTCTGGGATGTTGCCACGGAGACGGTCAATGCGACGTCTATTCGCTCGCGTGGGGAAAGGCACTAGTGAAATCACTGAAATTGATGGTTTGACAGCAATACGGAAAGCCGAATAGACTGGCTGAAATATATTTTGTGATCGCATATTGTGACATAGTATTGTATGACATATTGCGAAGATGTATTTCGTCATGGTGTTCATGCTAGCATCTGTAAAGCCCAGGCTCCACTACGCGATTTTTCCGTGCGATATTGCGATATTTTTGCGATACGAAATCGGAATATCGCAAAATCACACGGAAAAAATCGCGTAGTGGAGCCTGAGCTTCAGAAATATTCCACGTCGATGCACCCGAGTAGACAGATTCATTGTATCTGTAGATGAATTTGGTGGAAAGTGGTGCTATAGTGACAGCATAGCTCCAAGGCCGGCGGGCCGACCCACGGGCCCACCGGCCTGTTAGCTATGCGATAATGCAGTGTGTTACTGCGAGACAAGGCCCAAAACATCAGCCTTTAGTCAGGAAAAGGTGTTGTTGGGTGTTGTGCTGGGGTCACTTAAAAGCTAGATAGAAACCATCCTTTATCAACCACACACCACCCCTGTCTTCAAGCGTCTTCGTCTTCAGTCGCCAGCGGACAGCTTTTGTTGCCTGCTTGAAAGCAGGCTATCAGAGAGATATCACAATTACCTTCCATTATCCGTCTCCTAAATTTACCGCGACTTCAGCTTATCAGTCACCAGCGTGTCGTTGACCTCCACCACCCAATCATCAGTAATGGGCGCCGGTGACTTCTGAGGTCCGGGCGCCCTTAAATCGCAAATCATCATGATCATCAACCACGACTGACCACCCTGTCCTCCCTCTCTTGCAGGACCTGGAAGGCAAGCAGATGGTGGAGGAGCTGAAGCCGGAGGTGGTGAACCGCTCGGCTAAGGGCGACCTGCCCCAGTGTCTGTCGCTGGCCTGGTCGGGAGACGGCCAGACCCTGTTCGCCGGCTACTCGGACAACAAGATCCGCGTCTGGCAGGTCTCCATTACGTCCAGATAGGCGCCGAGGAGACCCTGTGTCACCACCAACGGGACAGACAGAGAGATATTGCCAATACACGACACCCAGACACAGAGAATGACACCGGCGGGCGGACGGCGCGGCGGGCCTGGACGAAACGGGGGAGGCTGGTCCGATTTGGCTGGTTTGTGAAGCCCTAGTGGTGCCGGTCCCAGTTTGGACTGGTTTGGGTTTGGCTTTGTATGTGAAATGATTTTTATGTGGTCATTTTGAAGCGTGTAGTGTCCTAACAAATTCGTTTCGATTCTTTGCAAATTTCTTGTTTGGATAATTGTTATTGCTCAAACCTGTAAGGACAAAATGTTCATGAAAGACACCGAATATCATGGAATGCTGAATCGCAAGGAATTTTTGGTAGTAGGTTTCTGGAAAATCTTTCAAAATTCGTCCATGTGAAAAACAGCGAGTGTAGTAAGTCACCTTTCAGTGTGTTACTTCCAGTCGTCCAGTCTATATGTATGTTCCCGTACGAAATCGTCCACGCTGGCCCGCCGTCCGCCCCTCTTTTGTAGTGTGTTCCATGTCACCGATTATGATCATGTGTGAAGAATCGAAAACTCCCGAGATGGCTGATAATGCGCCAACAGAGGGCGCCAAAACAGGTGAGACATCCAGTGTTGTATGCCATCGAATGTGTGCTCCATTTGATTTTCTCTACTTGTGTTTATTGTTGTGTTCGGTATATTTTCTTGTGTTTTAGTGTGTTTCTTTTCGGTCTAGTAGTTCCACGTCCCACATAATTATCCCGTTTTATCCGTTTAGCTGCAAGCTCGTTTGCAATCCAATGCCTTCCCAGCCAGCACACCCGAGTGGGTTCCATATGGGTTCGATATGGGCAGCCCATGTGGGTCCCAGTGGGTTTCGTCACACGGCTCCATCTGGGTCCCATGTGGGACAGCTCAGATAAGTCGGTCCCACATGGGACCCAGTTAGAGCTGTGTGAAAAACACGGGGACCGACATGGGCTGCCCATATCGGACCCACTTGGGTGTGCTGGCTGGCTGGCTGGGATATCAGATTACAGATATGAATAATTTCATATCAAAGGTTGCTGAATTTGCTGACTCTCTTCTGCTCTTACCTGAAAGCTTCCTTGTCACGTTTCAAAGCGCCCTGTATATTTTAACCGGTTATGACCTAAATCCTGATTTATCGGCGTTGTGGATTCGCCGAACCCCCGTCTTTCCTCACGTGGACGGCAGGGTTGGCTTGTGCTGCCACCTGTCGGTGCTGCACGCGGCTGGCGTTCGCTCATCTGTCACCAGGTGGTGCTCACGGCGCTGCCCTCGTGACATGACGTCACATCCGCTGTCGGCTCTCGACCAATGAGCGGCCGGCGTCGGGCGCGGCTCGGCGGCGAGACGCCGGCGTCGGCCTCATTTCTTCCGGTGGTGTCTGAGCAGGTGGGTGGCGTGGCGAGCATGGCGCCCACGTGGCCAGAGAAAGTTGCTCGTGCTGCATTTTGGATATTTGTGTGGTGTGATTATATTATATGTAGTGCGTTGTGTGGTTGTTAGGAACCGGGAGGTTTTACTCGAGTTATTTCTGGGCTTTCCGCTGTCTTGGATGGGTTGCAAGGGTTCTGGGTTTTGTTCCAGCAGCTCCTGGCTAAGCATTGCTTGTTCCTAGTTTGAGTTAGTTGCGTTGGACATAGTTGCTTTCTGTACTGGGTGGTTTCTAGCTGGAATTGAAAGTGAGATGTGGGTAAAGGATGAGTGATAGATAAGCCATTAAAATAATTCAAATGCGGGATAAAAGAACAGGCAGCTGGTAGTGGTATCCCTTCGACGCTCTAAACCTCACCGCTGATGTGTATTTCTCTTACCTTTGATTCTTTTCCACCTTGCCTTTCTCTCGCTGCATTTTGATTTGCTCTAAATTTTATCGCGATTTCCGTTTGCCTCATACAATCTCTGAGATCATCGACGATATTTTTATTGGTGCGAACTGAGCGAACCATGAAGTGGACGAATTGAATCTACCATGTGGATTGTGGGGGTAGCTTTAACATAAATGCTGGTAAATGCAAACATGCAAGGACACCGGATGACCTCTCCCATGGCCCTCATCCCCCCCCCCCGGGCGACGCAGCCCTAGGACCGCGGCACTCCGGTCTAAGGAGTGCCGTCTCCGGTCTTAGGACCGGCTGCCGATGTGTCTGGCTCACATCGATCCGTGTCGGCATATCGGATTCGGATGGCCGGCTCATCCACATCGGTGAAATCCCCAAGGAGGCAGTCTGCAGCGCGTTGTAGCATAGTGTCTGCAATTCACTATAGCACACATACGTTAGGTCACATTATAACGGAAAGGACAGATGCCCAGCTGCGCAGAGTTAAACCCGCGCCCTGGTGGCGGGGGGGCTATTTCCCCCCCCCTCCAGACTTTTCGATATATCTCCAGAACCGCTGCGCCGATCGTCACCGAACTCTCATTACCCTCCCGGACATCAATTTTACACATTGTGACAAAAAAAAAATCCAAAGACTGATTGGTTGGCCGGAAATGACGTCAGAGTGACGTCACGTTCTGCCGTTTTCGACCCAAAAAAAGGTTTCGCGGGAAGAGCTCTAAGGCCAATGGCTTTGAAAATACAGAAAAATGATGTCATAAAAACTAAAATTGACAGGGTACAAAACTGCAAACTCGGATTTTTGACATTTTTGGATTTTGACCCCTAAAAATAAATAATTTTTTTATATAATTGCCGAAAAATCCAAAAAGTTTTTTGAGTTTCGAAAAAAACGGATGTGATAGTCCTTGCTGCCTTCTATCCACATACCAAATTTGAGATCGATGCCTCTTTTTTTTGCCAAGTGATAACGAAAAAAAACTTCAAAATTGGTTACGTCAAATTTTCAAACTCAATTTTTAACATTTCTAGACCCCGTAGCGCAAAACAAAGACCACCATTAGACTCCCCGTGACGAGCTGCATCGAACCAATACCCATTTTATGCAAAACTGTCAACTTTAAAATTTGACCTGACCTTGACCTGACCACCAGAAAGTGACCTAAGTCGTACCTGATGGTCTTATAACCAACACCATTGAGTTGGAAATGAAAAATTCAGTGACCTCTAATAGCAACATATGTACAAGGCAACTGGCGCCCTAACGCTGATTCTCGACAAAATGCGTTTTCGTCGATGTTATAGCGCATTCCCTAGAAGACCCGTGAACGGTGAAACATTTCATCTTTGACCTGACCTGTGACGTCATCGGCGACTCCGAGGTCAATGAAATTTGGTTTCCTATGGCAAATTTGACGGGCCTTTCGAACGCAGTTTGAATTTTGCGGATCCGTCCAGTAGTTTCGGAGATATGAGGGGCAAAAATAGCCCCCCTCCCCCCACCAGGGCGCGCGGGTTATCCCCCTCTCGTGAGGGTCTGGGCCGAGTGGCACGGGGGCGGTCCTCTGGGGAGGGGAGGTAAGATGAAAGGCGCGTTATGTCCATTGGTGGTGGAATGGACAAGTATTTGTGGTCAAAGGTGTGCGCAGTCGATGTTTCCGGAGATTTCCTGGTGAATAATTACAATCGAACCCGGTCTGAAGTGGTGTTGGACTTAGTTTTGCGGAGATAACATTTCCGCAGACAAGATTGATCGTGGAATTGCCTTTTTTATTGGATACCTTTAATGGGTGTGTGACAACTGCATTTCTCTTTTGCAGGAATCTTGCGACTCTCGGCTTGGCAATTGGCATCACATTTCAAAGGTATGTCTAGATTTGTGTTGCAATGCTGTGTTTTCCCCATGACATGATGTCTGATTAGAGTTTCTGAATCTTTTTGACGAACACCTCAGCTGAACAGTTGCATTCACATAAAAGGTGTTGGTGTGCTGGGTATCTTCTAATATGTACAATTCTTTTTCAGATCATCTTGCTGGACTGCTCAAGGACAGAGTTGCTGTCATGATTCGAGATGTAAGTACCACCTGTACCAGCTACATTCTGGCATAAGTGTATTTATTTGTGATAAGGTACACGCCACACGGTGATGATCTTCTGTTGGACTTGACTGATATGATGCTGATTTCTGACACCTCTTCTGAAGCATTTGCTGAAATTGCTAGGGAGCACTTACTGATATTTTTGCCCTAAATGTACGCTTTCCATATCTGCCATGGTCTTCATTTGTATGTATCTTTTCAGTTACTGGATGCCACTGACGTCTGTGATGCTGCATTCTTTGAGAAACAAGTCTCCTGGCCCTATAACAGAGGTCAGTTATTGTGGTTTAAAAATGTCATTGCTGATGACTGTAAATGATGGGATTTCTGACACCTCTTCTGAGCACCTTGCTGAAAAGGCTTGATAGCATTTGCTGATATTGCCTATTTGTGCTAGTAATACACTGTGGGAGATGGCATAGCTGACATGTTTTGTGGCTTGTCCACAGGAATGCAAGAGGATATTCATCAAGATGACAATGAGTGTAGAGCTGAAGGTATTTATGACATTTTATATCCATTTGGTTTTGCTTCTTACAGGATGATCTCATATTGCATAGGCAGCTTTTGTTGTCACTGTTGCATTTGATAGTAGAACTGATGTACCTATCATGTATGCTTTGGTTGAATTTTTATTATTTCTTAAACTTAGCCTTATGCTTATCTTTTCACAGAACTTACCAAATCAAAACAGCTAGAACTGAACCATGGCCAACCTGAGAGGAATATTTGAAGGTAAGGATTTGTCTAGCTTTCAAGTGCTATCTTTCACTTTTCCTTCTTTTCTTCTGATGAAAATTTGTGGGAATCTCTTTGATCATGCGTGAAAACACCATAACACAGCTGATATGTTTGAAAGATCAAAACTGAGCAATAAAAATATTTAATACCATAACCATCCTCTTTTCCCCAGGTATACTGGAGCGCACCATGATGACACTGTGATATCATGGGATATAGGTAAGTTCTGTTGCAGTGGTATTTATACTGGATGTCACACTTCTTGTGATGAGTAGATTGGTCTTTCTGAACTACATTGTAGTCGTGTTGCTGCTTAACCTCTTCTGATTCTCTGATCATATTTTAAATGTCTTGCTATTTTCTGGTAAGTCACTGTGCTGTGAACCTTTCAGATCTCTAAGGAGCTGGTCTTGTCAATGATTGACAGACTGGTTGAACTACATGGATCATGTGGATCTCGCTGCCTGCCGAGGTAAGCGGTGCTGGTTGATCAAGTTTATGTTAAGAATCCAATTGCGTGATGTTTTTACTAGATAGTATCTGAAAATGCTTTGATCAGAACCACTTGCTGATTTGAGTCATCAATTCTTATTTCATATCTTTCCCGAGTATATTAATTTAATGATCATATCCCCTTTTCACAGGTCAGATTCCTGACAGCAAGACATCGTTAAATATGCAAGAATCGCGTTCAGTCAGGTAAGGGTATTAGAGGGCAAGCTGCAAGCTTAGACTAAGCATCAGTGCTCAAGGCATAGGTGTCAACGCTCGACTTTAGTGTGATGACTTCCTGTCGATGTCTGAATCTAAAGAAGACAAAAATACAGACTGATTTATTGTTTCATGGCCAGTTCCGTATTTTGGAAGTTGTCGCATCCTAATGTTTGTATTTTATTTGCAGGTCTTGTGTGTTGACTGCTGCTTTGCACCAGCTTTGACTGCTGGAGGTGAGTTCTGTTGACATGCTTATCCTATTTGCATTTATATTGTTATTACCGATGCGCGCGGACTGCCCTTCGCCGGTCCGCGCCGTGGCCCCGGAGCTGTCTATCCAATGCAGTATGTTCCCCGCCACAGCATCGAACAGCAACTCTGTCCCCGGGCCGGGGCCGGTCCCCGACCCGGCGTGGGCAGTCGGTACGCATTCTCCAGTGTCTCGCTGTAGTGGCGCCGCCACCAGGACAGTCGAGAAAGACCATGCGGGCCACAAACTTGGGATGTTTCCTATTCATTTAGTGTCTTCTAGCTTTTCTTCTCATATTGATGTGGCGCTGAAGTCTGTTGCTACGTTGATTGATTTAAATGTGTTCACCAATCAGTGGCTAATGCATAGTTAGTTTTTCACAAGGCTCACTGTTGACATTTTTGTTGCAGATCATGGCACATCCGTGGACGGCGTTGTCTCTACCTGTTGTCACTCCTAAGCCGTGTTCAACCAAATTTCCAGTCCCAGGTACGTTTATCTGTGATACACCACTGATCAATGCCCAATTAACGTGATGATTGTTCATTTCACAGACCTGTTCTGAGTTAGCTATGCTGAGCCTAGAACGGCCATCTGAGGAGTCTGTTTCATAAGAGAATTGTCTCGCTTGTGCCCGGTCTTCATCCCATGTTTGTTGTCTTTCAGGACGCTGAAAGAACACTTCATCGAACCAACTTTCTTTGCGGCGCTGACTGATAACGAGACCATCACCTGAGTGTGTAAAGGTGAATATTGAAATATGCCTGTGTTTATGATGTAATTAAGTGATGACATATTTTACCGCCCCAGTCTGAGTCGATCTGATTGAGTGGTTATTCATCCTGATGTTTCAAATAATAATCATTTTCAACATATGTTATTCATTATCTCATTTGAGCAATTCATTTCAGGTTATCCTGCTGTGATGTTAGCAAGCGTCGTCTATTTGCGAACGGCAAAGGTAAGCTTTCGTGGCATGATTGTGCTAAACAGATGCTTCCTAAATGATGAAATACGGAATTACCGTTTGAACCCAAGTGAAACAATTTCCATGGCTGCTTTTTATCTGAACTAATATCAGATAGCGTGTATCAGAAAAATGTGTTGGTATATCTTATAAGATTTAATTATTTGCAGGGTCACAACGCATCTGAATAGCTGGCAAGTGTGCGGTTCCTGATTCCGTGGAGCAGCGTTATCGAAAAAGGTTTGTACAGCGTTTGTTGGGGCCTTTCCCCAGTGCTGCTCTGTGTTGGAAATGATGTTGCTTGTATTTGCTACTCTTGACGGTCGAATGACGACAGCATCCACAATTGCTGATCATAATGATCAGTTCCCATCATATGTTTCGCGCTACGGATGTTGCGTGACCCAGCTGCTTTCTTTTTCAGAGACGTTTTGCGGTCTAGGGGCGCTTTGAATGACAGCAGGTAAGCTATAATTGTACTTAGTGCCTAATATTTGACGCGAATTAGTGATGATTTTAGCATACTGAGGTGGTACTTTGCTGACTTGCATTACTTTCTGACACACTCTTGTCTGACGTAAATTCAGATATACCTCGCGGGTATTTCCCGGGCTTGTTCTAATCATTATGCCTCCCTTTCAGCGAATATGGCGACAACTCCCTTCGCACGGTGTTCTCGTGTGGAGTTTTGCTACATACAAGGTAAGCGCCTTTCACAGCAACTGTGAGGATGTTTTGTCATAGCTATGATTCAGTGATGATATTCCCTTGCTTACCATTCGCGGTTTCCACCCGAGATCCGTCTGTGAAGGCTTGGCGCGTCTGACAGTGCATGACCATGTAAGTGTGAAGTGTAATGTGACATTCCACTGACTGCTCATTTTCCTTTCACAGAGTATCTGCGGCGTCGTCACTCTAAGCTCCACGTTACTTCGTCTGCTGCTTGGGTAAGCAGAGTTTTACATGCCTTGTTTCTTTTGTTAGTAACGTACATGTCAGCTCTAAAAGAGCAATACGAGCGAGTTGTTTCGGATCTCCTAGATCTCATAAATTCAGAGTTCATTGTTAATTGCCGGAGCGCTACATAAGTCAGTGTGAAGTGCACGGTCTATGTTAAATGTTCCACCCCGCCTTATTAAGCCGGCTGGTTTCGGCGAACCGTTACCGGGCCAGCATGCTAAAGGCGGGAACAGCACCCAGTCCCCGATCACTTGCTTGGCGGCGATCGGTCAGCTCGGTCGGCCGCCAAAGTACTGGTCGGCACAGCGGGATTCTACGTAATCCTCACAGGCTTGATTGCTGATGGACTGTGGGAGGATGTTTAGTGAGAGGGTGTAGTGGGTATCGTAAATTGACAAATTTGTTTCCTGTTTTAGCGTTGGCGTTGCTGGTGAAGATTTAGAAGTTGCCTTGGGATCGGCTAACGTCGAGATTGGACTCATCTGCTTGGTAAAAGGTGAGTGTTTTGGCCTAGGTGGTTTTCCTATTTGAGGAACTGAAGCTCCCTGTCTGAGTTCATGTTGATTTCTTGATGAGTCTCTTGTCTGACGTGATGAATTCGTATACCGCCCCAGTCTGAGCTGAGCTGACTGAATGGTTTCTAAATCTGATAATGTTGACCTAGCTTAAGTAACTGGTTGCTAAGATGCTCCGCTAACGGTAATTTTTCTATCATTGTAGGTGGCTGCAAGTCTGCTGGATCACGAGTCATGCCCTAACGTGAGCGGAATGGTAAGTTTGCATCTCTGCTTGGGGTTTCGTTTTTGTTTTTAAGTAAGACCAGCCGATGCGCGCAGACTGTCCTTCGCCGGTCCGCGCCGTGGCCCAGGAGCTGTCTATCCCATGCAGTATGTTCCCCGCCACAGCATCGAACAGCAACTCTGTCCCCGGGCCGGGGCCAGTCCCCGACCCGGCGTGGGCAGTCGGTACGCATTCTCCAGTGTCTCGCTGTAGTGGCGCCGCCACGAGGACAGTCGAGAAAGACCATGCGGGCCACAAACCATCCATTTTACACGCATTGTCGCGCCAAATTATGTCAACATGCTGTTAATCTTATGTTTTTGCTGCAAGTGTTGTGTGTTTTCTTTGCTCCCGCGCCATTTCTGTAATGGTATGTGTGCTTGTATTTCGTGGTCGTTTTCCCGTCTAACATTACCAGTATAACGCCTTTTGGGGCGACTAACGGAGCGAGCGAGAGGGTGAGCCTTGCACGTGCGAAATTTCGAGGAAGTACCTCCAGCTGACTTGTGCACGGCACCCTACTAACCGGTCTCTAGCGATGTGCCAAATTTGAGCACAATCGGCCCAGCCGTTCTCGAGATCTGGAGGCGGCACCCTGCACGTGCGCACGTGCAAAATGGGTCCCAACTGACTTTTGCACGGCACCCTACTAACCGGTCCCTAGCCATGTACCAAATTTGAGCGCCATCGGTCCAACCGTTCTCGAGATCTGGAAACGACCCCTGCACGTGCGCACGTGCAGCAGCGCCCCAACTCTAGCACATGGATATGCAGTGCCTAGTGGGTGCCTACCTACATGCCAACTTTCAGCGCAATCGGCCAAGTAATTACCGAGATATTGCAACAATTACAAAACGGACACCTCTTCGTTTTGCACGTGGCACGTGCATAAGGGGTCACCCACATGCATCAGGAATAGTCCAATACTTGGTAGAAGGAATGAAGCTACCCTACAAAAATTACCGCGTGTAAATCGGTCAAGTGGTTGCTGAGATATAAGCCTCGCAAAAGCGTGACCACGGCCGGCCGGCCGCTCATACTCAGAAATTTCCGTTAATCTAAGGAAAGACTACGCTCGCTTCGCTCGCTCCGTAATAACATTGTTTTCGCAGGTTCTAGTGCCAATGTGCGTTCTTCTGTCTGCGCAAGGTGCGTAGAACCTATAGATATCGAAGCTTCTGCTAAAACTCTTCGCACGTTTCATCTATTTTCGGTGTCTATTCCTTATTGTAATGATGTTTATTGTATTTGCTACGTATGACTGGTTGCATGACTATTTCATCCACAACTCTGAATCCTTGTGACTTATTCTAAAAGTTAACTTATCTTTTCCACCCATGACGTAAAACATTCTTCGCAGAAGCCGATTCGGTGAAGCGAGTCTATGGGAGCTGTCGTCACACTGCTCATTAGATGGTGAGTTTAATATCCTGACTTCGCTCTCTTTCTGGCCTTGATGATGAAATACGGAATTACCGTTTGAACAGTAATGAAACCATTTCCATGGCTGCTTTTTATCTGACCATTGTTTTGTTTTATATTAATCGTGCTCGATTTTTACGTGTGGACTAAGATTGTCGCGCCTTTTCTAGGTCCCTCGGAATTGTATGACGCCAGTATGGAGTAGATTCGAGAATGACATCCTCAGAAAGTCGCTGGGACGCTTGCAACAGACTTATGGTGAGTATTATACGGTATTGCTTTGACTTTCATCAGTATTGTGATGAAAATTTTGTGGGAATCTCTTTGAATTCACCTGAAAACACCATATACACTTCTGAACTTTTGAGCTCATTGACATAAGGTGTTTCATCTGAAATATCTCTGGTAACGTTTTCTCTGCACCTTTTCAGCGTGCCCGACATCGGCTCTGGTGGAATCTGAAGCAGTGTCCCCACGCAGGTAACTATTTTGTATATTGCTTTTACTCGTTGCAACTGTTTTCTATGTTCCGCCGTCCACTACGATGATGAGATTCAGCTCAGAAACATTCGCGGTTTCCACCCGAGGTCCCCCGGGACTTCTGAGGGCCCGGCACGTCTGATATACTCGGCAATTTACCCCGCGCGACTGCCGCCAACTTCCCCATCTCACCGACTTTCGTTTGTCCTGCCACAGGTGGATATGCAGCACGGACTGTGGCGTCGGGCTTTCGCAGCTGGCAGAGGCGAAACGATTGACCCGTAGACTAGGTGAGTTTAGGCGTCCTTGTAGTCTGGCGATGAGTGAAGATACTGTTTTGGTTGAAAAGGGGAACAGTCTTGTGTTAGGACACTTAGAGTAATGTCAATATTTGCCGGTATGGTCATATTTGCCATATTTTGCAGTCACATTTGCTATATGTATTTGCCATCTTGTGGGGCTTCCAGAGTCTGTCAAATTCCCGTCCGGCGGCTCTGTGGCCGGCCGGGGCCAACGCTCTGGAACAGCACCATATTCCGGACTGTTCCACTCTGGGGTCCCTGCTGCGTCGGACCGCCAGAACTAAGACTTCCGGACACTAGTCTAATTGAACGTGCAATTTGCGTGGTGTATTGTAGCAACTTACCACGTGCAATGTGCTTCTAAAACGCTGGTCTAGTGATCGCAACTGTAGCAAGGTATTTGAAGAGTTTTCTCGTTTCAGGTTGCTGTTACGGCAAATGTTCGCCTACCCATTTTGATGGAAGACTGGATCATAAATATCTGGTAAGCAGTGTGTCTCTGCTGTAACCTGTTGTAAGGTGCTAGGCGCAATCTTTCATGATTGAAATTTGAAAGCGACATCTGTGAATTCTTTTGCATGCGTTTTTTCGTTGTTAGTCAGATTCTTACCACAGTGATGGTGTTACTACTCGTAAAATTAGCACTGTCATTTGATCACGTGTCACTGTGTACGACCAAGGCCATTTCCCCGCCCGGCTGTGTCTGTGGCCGGGTGGATGAATACCTTGGGAGAGAGACGTGCGGACTGTGTCGCCGCCGGGGCGGTTCACCTCAGACCCGGTGGACAGGCGCTGCTCGCTACAGTCGACGTGTAGAGGCCCAGTTACATGTGCCTGATAAGTCGGCTGTTATTGATAGTCTTTTCTTTTGTTGCAGGAATATGTTACAAAGACATTTTGCGGAGGCAGTACTGAAGAATATGTCGCTTTGTCTGGAACATCATGGCGACTGCTCCAACCTAAAGTGACCAGGTATGTGCTTTGTAATTGTGAAGAGCGGTGCCGCGTACGAGAATTGTTACAAATGATGAAATACGGAATTACCGTTTGATCAATCTTGAAACAATTTCCATGGCTGCTTTTTATCTGAACATTTAGCGCATCACTCTCTTGCGTCCGGTTAACATTCTTCGACTGATGGCTTGTTTTATTTTTCAGCTCATTGAACCCGCGATATGATAATGCAAGCCAGGCCCTCCCGTCTTCTAACAGGTAAATATGCATGCTGTCAGCTGTAGTTCATTTCGTTTATTTTATCGCCCCGATCGTGGGTGCATTCGTCCCCATTGATCAATGGACTAAGTACGCTCATACTTTGTTTGCAGTGTTGCTAGGGCCTAGGTGACTAGCGTCGTGCGTCATTTCTAATGTATCCATCTGTCTTCCTGTATATCTCCACCCTCGGAGTGTCCGTCTGTGGTCTGTCACGTGCCGGGATGATGACAAAGGCCGAGTTTGAGGCGGTGCCGGTCGGCCGGTTCGAGCTGCCACCGGCGGATCCTGGCCGGCCGCCCGTCAATGAGCACTCGAGAAGCTTTGATCTTAACTGACCGGCCTTCACTAAGCCGATCCGAGGGAGGGAGGGGGTCCATCGCAGGTGCACACGCGCGCTAATGGGTTGTTTTATGTCTTGCAGGTGTCTATCGGATGTCTTTACTGGGAACGCAACTGCGCTATGGATTGCTTGCCAACAATACTGAAGGTTCCGCCTAAAGAAGTTGCAGACCCCCTGCTCTGCGACTCTGGAAATGGTACGTAGGTGTTTTCTTACTGAAGAATGTCTTACATTTTCATATGATGATAAAACACGGATCCATTTACCGACAGTTCTGTGGGGATTCTTTAATTTGACCTGATTTTATAGTCTAATCCCTTGTTTGACGGGCCTGTTTCATCTCGTGACGATTTTAATGCCTGTTTACAGGTTGCGTTCAATAATCAACATAGATGCGGCTCTGGCATTTGCATTATTCCATGGCTGCCTTCTTCGTCGTTGGAGCTCGTTGGGTAAGTTTTTTCTGATATTTCATACGCTGTTTTTGTTATCGCCAGTTGCCAAACCACAGCCGGGCTGTACTGTGGCCCGCCTGGCCAGGTGCGCTGGAACAGTGACCGTGGTGCCCTAACCTCCCCGCCGGTCTGCCGGAGACGCGAGTGGGACTTGTGGACCCATACAATAATTCTCTAGAGAGAAATTCTACCGCAGTGACGAAATTGTTAAGTGGTACTGGAATCACAATCAGAACGGTGGCTTACTCAGCATGCAGAAAGAAAAGCAAATCTCGTTCGGAAGTTGGAATGACTGAGCGCGTGGAATTAAAGGGAGATTATGACCTTTTTCCACAAAATCTGAGTTAGGACCATTTTCTGACAAAACACAACAAGTTATAATGTAAATTAAAACCATTTTGCTCAATTCGGTACCTTGCCGCAAATATCTCAACTTGAAGTCACGTTAGCGGGGAGCGCTGAAAATGACCGTTGAATAAGTACTTACATCACTTTTTGGTACTTGCATGTAATTTTGTAAAATGAGCGTATTCATTACATTTGATCTTCATCACATCTAGTTAGTTAATGGTCGTCTATAGTGCCTTCAAAAGATATTCATGGTTTGGGGGTGGTTTATGTCTAAATTTACGCAACTATTTTTCCTGTTCATCATCTGTCGCCATATGCTGCTATTTTAGTAGCAACGACTCAATTTTGAATCGGTCCCGCCGACCACAATAAAAGAAGATAGATACAACACTTTTGCGGCATCACTGAAAAACTTATGCAGTACTGTTATCAAAATTCTCATAACACCGTTCGACAAACCTGAAGTCTTTTTGAAATAAATATGCTTGTATTTTTCGCTTCAGGCTCTGAGGCCAAAATAATGAATTTCGTAGTCGCAATCGCAAGATTTGGCTGCGTTTCTGGCGCATGCCGGTCATTTGTGGCGCAAAATAATACTTGGAAACAAAGAAGAGTAGGCACTATGTACCCCCGAATTAGAATCTAATTAATTCTAAACCGAATTAACTCTAATTCAAATTAGAATCCTTACAACAAAGCAACAAGGCGATAACATAAACAAAAACCCAAGCGTCGCTGTTTGAAACAAAAGCGCCATATATTGCGACTTTTTTTATAGAGAAGGACAACGCATTTCGGTGGGTGTTACAAGTACTGCAAGTACTGCTTCTTTTTTGCAAAAATAAAAACCTTTTTCACATACGAAAATGTGCTAGGAAATTTTCATATTTTATAGAAACTACAGTAGAAATAGTATAGATGTCGAGTAATTTTTATTTAAGAAACAAGAAAGCTCATTATCTCCCTTTAAACTTCAGTTTAAACGAGCTAAATTATCGCATACAACTTTTTTCTGCTGTGCATATTTTTATATTGACGTATATAAGGATACATGTTATCGGCTATGAAATTGATTTTGTTCTAATAAGTCCTTTGCTCACTAATGCTTATGCTCACAGGTCCGGGCGTCGTCCATTCGACTCCTCGCGGCGTTCGTCGGCACAGCCACCATCAGCAAACACAGTGAGTTAATCATGCCTGTTCATGAGTGTCCGCGTCTAACTGTACTACGATGATGAGATTTTAGCTCAGAAACATTCGCGGTTTCCACCCGAGGTCCCCGGGACCTCTGAGGGCCCGGCACGTCTGATATACTCGACATTTTTACAATTGTGCCTCCTGTGTCGACCTCAGTGGCTGATCAGTTGCGTTATTGTTTGCAGAAGCAGCAAAGTGTCTGGTGGACAGAACCAGCGAAGTTACTCTAGGTTTTTGGGGTGCAGCTATGGTGCTACAGGACATAGTTCTCTGAAAACGTAAGCATATTCCTTCCGTCGATGGGAAACTGAATAGCTGGCGTTACTTTAAATAATTTAGGTAAGATGTCGAGTTTAAGATGTCGAGTTGAACTTTCGAGTTTGTGTAGTGATAAGTTAGAGCAGCCTCTTTTACACAGTAATTCACTCTCAATGATGATTGTTCATTTCACAGACCTGTTCTGAGTGACCGGTGCTGAGTCTAGAACGGCCATCTGAAGTTGTGTCCGCTTCCTACAGCCGCTGCCTCCGAGGTCTAGCGTCTGATTGTGAATTGTTTGTGTCCACAGCGCTAGCGGGTTTCGTAGCGTGTACTGCGGCCGACAGGCGAAAGGAAACTCGCCTGAAAGAGGTATGTTTTCTTGAAATTGCGCTGATTCTGTGAATACTTTAAAAACAAATACCGATGCGCGCGGACTGTCCTTCGCCGGTCCGCGCCGTGGCCCCGGAGCTGTCTATCCAATGCAGTATGTTCCCCGCCACAGCATCGAACACCAACTCTGTCCCCGGGCCGGGGCCGGTCCTCGACCCGGCGTGGGCAGTCGGTACGCATTCTCCAGTGTCTCGCTGTAGTGGCGCCGCCACGAGGACAGTCGAGAAAGACCATGCGGGCCACAAACCAACTTTTCATTCGACGTCACAGACCTGGAAAGCTTGTATGGAAACCAGTGTGTCTTGTGGGTTATGACCCTCAGCATGAGAGTGACTGTAAAGGGAAAATACTCTGGTATCATTGGAATAAGTGTAAAGGAGGCATTTCCAACGCCCTATGTGACGCAGAGACAGGTCGCGATTTTTTCACAATGTGCGCATGTCTGGCTCTGATCAGTGATTTGCACTTTCGCAGGATTGGGAAACAAGCCTTGCTGCCCTCGTCCGTGCTAACAAGTGCATGGTAAGTTGATCGTGTCACTTCGTCCTTTACTGCACTACGATGATGAGATTTTAGCTCAGAAACATTCGCGGTTTCCACCCGAGGTCCCCCGGGACCTCTGAGGGCCCGGCACGTCTGATATATTATGTCTCGTCCATTTTGCCTCTTGTGCGTGTAATAGGCGCTGACATCTTGGTCTCTTGTTTTCAGTAGCGGCAGAGGGTCCTTGACCAAAAACCACGCATCTGAAGGCACCCGGGGAACTTTAAAACGGCACACGTTCTTCGAATGAAAGGTAAATGCAAGGAGGATGGGATGCGATTATTGCGGCACCTGCTTTTCATCTAGCGGTAGAAATGTTCGTTGTCTTTGTATGTCTCCTTTGCTTTGCTTTACGCTGCTTTATTGTGCCCTCGGCGATATTTTATTCTTTCTCAATGATGATTTATCTCTCACAGACCTGTTCTGAGTAGCCGGTGCTGAGCTATGATAGGCCATCTGATGTCAATTTGCCTGCCGCCTGCGGTCGTCTGTGTGCCAGGTTCCAGTGGCTGACCGCGACTCATTTTTGTCCACAGTTGTTGGTGTTTAGCGGTCGGCCTCATCTCATCTTCCGTGCCCTCGTCTCCGGAAAGAAATTCCACCTGACTGAATTCCTAGGTAAGGAAGTATGCTATGAGGTTGGAGTGTTGGCTACTTTTCAGTGATGATACTTGATCCGCTGACCGAATTAAAGTGTGGAATTTATTTTTCTGAGCTATTTAAAGTGATGACTTAATTTTCTTTCCCTTTTCCCATGTTTAACCCAGTTGTTCTCGGCTTTCTTCCAGGTCCCAACTCCGACCTGCATTTCATGGCTCTATGCATATTCGTTCATCGTTTGACTATTGGTGAGTATCGATGTCTGTCCCCTATGGCTGAATTGTTACCCATATCAAATGATGCATTCTTGTGCCTCGATTTTCCGTGAGAGCTCACTAATTGTCACTACCACTGATCGTGTCGTTTGCTTTCAACCATCAAATGGCTGCCATGTTTTTGTTTTAACCAGCATCTCTTTTTGCTCAGGCGAATTCCCGATCGGACGCGTTTGAAGAACCATGAAAGCTCTTCTGGTTCCAAAATACCCAGGTAATATCAAAACACCTCATTTATGTAACGTGATGGTGGCATGACTTGCCATACTGTTTCACTGGCCGGTTTAATTAACGGTATGATAACCATGATGGTTCTTTCACATTCTCTGATCATAATTGATGACTCATCCATCTGAGCACTTAGCTCCTGGCGCCTCCCTCCCGCCTGTGCTTCAGTTACTTGACACTGTCCCTCTCTTTGGCAGGCATCTGCGCGGAAACATCTCCTTGGGACTTCTTCAATGCGTCTGTGATAAGCTAACGGTGAGTTAGTTTCTATGGATGCAAAAACTTTTCAGTATTAATTGTTAGTCATTATCGGCCATGATGCAATGTGACTCGGCGTACACTTCTAGGGCGGCCATCTTTATGCAATTCTTGGAACTGATGCTGTGTTGTCTCCAGCCGTCGTAATCCAGTCTCCTCTGATGATACTCTCACCTCTGAATCACCGTGTGGTGCAACACATTCGACTTGGCTGAGCGTGCCCGATGCCCCACAACTGGCCCGTACATGGGACGCGTCCTATAAGCGCTGTGCTCGTGTGTTACAGGGTAACTCGGAGGTGCGAGGTGCCACAGGCCACCCGCCGGGTCTTCCGGCGCTGGGAAGCCGCATAGTGGAAACGATCCGTGGTGTAATCGGCATTTTATTGCGAGGACGCGTGTATTTCGAGTCGAGAACGTTGTCTAATAAATGGCAGTCTGTTGATAAAATGGATTTCGATGCAGTTTTACACGTAGCACGACAAAATCGGCAAGATATGAGTCGGAATACGTGCGGGAAACCGGCTGTACAGTGATCGACTTGCGTGTCGATTTACCCACGGATCAGTCTTTGGCTGAAAGCTTCTCGGATCGAGTCCCATTTACACAAGCATGCCTTTACGCGTACGTTACGTCGGGAGTAGTCGTGCAAAAAAAGTAATCGGAAAATGACCTCTCGGTCGTTGCGCCCCTAACCCCCAACAAACAAGGGAGTAGTCATACAGCTGACGTGATTTGATCGGGAGGGGTTTTTGGTGTTTGTGAGGTGCGGAGTACTTCTCACGTGGAGGGGCGGAGGGGCGCCAGACGGTTACGAGGGCGCCGTGAGACCATGAAAAGGGCGCCGAGTGATCGAAAGCGCTATGTGGTCCAGGGGCGCTGAAAGGCCAGAAGAGCGCCGAACAGTCTAGGATGCACGGTGGACAGAGACCTAAGGGCGCGAGACGGTCAGGAGTGCGCCGTTAGACAATGAGAATGGCGCGGTGCTGTCAAAAGGGCGCCGTGTGATTACAAACGCTATATTATCCAGGAACGCGGACGGTCAGGAGGACGCCGTTATAGCGTGCGGAAGGGCGCCGTGCTCTCGGAAAGGACGCTTGTAAAAGACTTGTGGGTGCATTTTAATCTGCCGCCCCATCGAAGCTCAATGGCACCCCTTTCAAGTACCCGGCGTCCGGGTGCTTGCCGGGTTGCTTGGGCTTGGTTTCTTGGGTCGGCGTAGGGCGGCCAGGGACAGATCCTCTAGGAGCAGAGGTAGGACCACCAGAGGCAGGATGTGAGTGACGAGGACAGGGTCGCTAGGGGCGGGGGTACGGCCACGTCCAGGGGCAGGGGTAAATCCTCCAAGATCAGGGATAGGGACCAGGGACGGACCATGGCTGTAACTGTAAGGGACAGAAATGCGAGTGCTAGGGCAATAGTGGTGCCAATTTCATGAAATTTCAATTCCAATTCCGATCCAATTCCAAGAAATTGCCAAGTAAATTTCCAATTTTGTCCAAAGCGGGGGCTATTCCAATTTTTAACGATTTTTGCATTTTTTGCGTAAATTTTAAAAGTGTTTAAAAGCGTTTTAAAACGCTTTTAAACACTTTTAAAATTTACGCAAAACATTTTCTCCGTTTTAAAAATTTTAGGCCTCCGTTTTAAAATTTTAAATTTTAAAGGCCTTGTTTCCGATTAATTTCCAAAAAATGTTAAGAATTCCGTCCAAATTCCAAATTGGAATTGGACAAAAATTGGAATTCCAAGAAAAGAAATTCCGATTGGCACCAATATAGGGCAATAAACCTATTGGTGCTCTCCTGTAAATAGGCGCCCTCTCACCCGAAGGCGCCCTCCTGTAGGTCGCCACCCTGCTACACATTGCTACCCTTCTGCTGGTCGGCGCTCTCATAATTATTGGCGCCCTCCTATCTATTGCGCCCTCATGTGAAATTGTGATGGCCGCCCTCCTCCCTTTTGGCACCCTCTTGTTGAGTGCCGCCCTTCTAGCCATTGGCGCCCTCCTACCTATTGGTTTCCTAGTCCCTCCTGTTGAATGCTAATCGGGGCCCCTCTACCTATTGGCCCCCTCGTGTTGATCGCCGCCCTCCTAACCTCTGGCGCCCTCCTGTTGATCGCCGCCCTCCTATCCACTGGCACCTTCCTGTTAAATTGGCGCCCTCCTCACAGACGCCCTCCTGTTCAATGTCATCCTCTTGGGCAAAGACGCCCTCCTCAGTCTCACCATTGCCACCTTCCTGTTAATCGTCACCCTTCCACTCATTGGCGACTTCCTGTTGATGACCGCCCTCCTACCCATTGGCGACCTCTTGTTGATCGCCACCTTCCTATCTATTGGTGCTCTCCTGTTCCTTGCCGCCCTCTCACCCATGGTGGCACCCTCCTGTTGATTGTTGATCGGAGCCTTCTTACCTATTGGCGCCCCCCCCCCCTTTTGATCGCCGCCCTTCTACCCGTTGGCGTCCAAGTTTCGGTGATTGAAGGTGCTCAACACTGTATGCATCTGTGAGAAGGTCATTAGGGCTGGTCGAGGTAATTTGGATGAGAAGTCCGAGAAGGCTAATCGATCTCATGAGAAACAGTCCTGTTATGGTTTATCTTTCTGTTGCTGCCGCCTTCTCGTTGTGCGCTTGTGTTTACGCACCTTGCGCTCCGGTATCAATCCGATATGGTGATCTGGTGTGTATGCCACCGCCAATAAACTTTTCTACATCGTCACCATGGGCGAAGCTTTCTATACAGCTTGTGTGGCACCGGCCCCACCAAACCTTAGGTATTTTTTACACCTTCAGATTTGGTAAAAGAGCGGGAAGAGCTTTGAACAGTGAGCACGCAAAAGATGTGCCTAAAAAGCGGAGGAAAAGGTTGTTTTTAAAAATTTCACGCGCCTTCGGCGCAGCATTTCACAAACTCTTCTTTACTAGGAACTTAGTACCTATGCCAATAACTTGCAACCTTTTTGTAATGTGTGAGATGAACCCGCGCCAGGAGGTTTCTTCAGACATGCTGTTAAAAAAGATCTACGTTCGAGCTTCCGTCTTTTTTTCCTGGGGGAGAGAGGGAAGTGGGTGAGCGGGAGGGGCACACCTTTTGGTACATGGCTCTTACACGTGCTCTAAAAATGCAAACCATAGTCGCTAAAAGCAAGGTCATCAGATTCTAACTTAAAGTTTTAAGCATTATCACTTAAGCTGAGCGGGTGACTTGACCTTTTTTTGGCCTGGAGTAAAAACAAAATACACACGATGCCAAATCAATGCAGCATAACCTATATACCAAGTCACGCAAAAAAAACTGGTGGCGTGGTAAAAAAAAACGCCTCCACCCCCCCCCCCCCGCTGAGCGGATTTTTATCTCGCGACCGTATGGCGCCCTCCTGGGGTGAGGTGGCGCCCTCCAAACCCTTGCCCCCCTCCCCCCCCCTTCGCGATTTTCTAAATACGCCGCTGGCCTGGTCAAACTGTTCGAAGTTCGAACATCGGTTGTCGACCAGACAAGTACGCACTGTCTGGTTATACTGTGCCGCAGTGCGCGCGTGTGCGACGGCGCAGCGGCAGCTGCTTGAAGGTAGGTGTGCGGGACGGACGATGGAGCATTTCTTGGAACTTCCGAACTTCTGGGGTTGGTTGGTTTGAATTTTTACGGCAGAGTGTGATGTCATGACAATGTTCATGAAAGTAATCACTTATTACCAAAGTCTAGACCCGAAGCGAATGCAGCTCAGTGTTGACCGGCATAGTGCAGTATTTGCAGTGCGCCTCTAGAAGAGTCTCTTTTTAGACATGTAATAGCGAGTGTCTCACAACATCTCTGGTCCACCATCGCCAGTGTTCACTCCATCGGCAGTGGCATAGGTATGTACTATATAGGGTGACCCGCGTGCTCCGCAACGCGAAAGGGGGTATTTTCGATTGACGGGTGTTTGGTTGTTCTTATGTCGGTTGGGTTATCTATCCATTTCGGTCGATTGCTTTTTGATGGCTAAACGTTTTGGATTGGAAAAAAATATCCATCGGATCGAGGTGCCCGTGTCTGATAAGCATGCTTTCCACTTCAGAATCTGCCAAATGTGCTTTATAATTTACAAAAAAAAAAGCAGGGGAGTTTCGTTCGGGTCGGACGTGTTTAAAAGTGCTCTACGGTTTTGCATATTTTTGGCGGTCCTATTCCGCCTTGTGATATGTGCTTAATACCATACGGTTCCTAATTTAACGTAGAATAAGTGTGGTCCACTCGCTTCTATTTTAATTTAACAAACATCCTATTATAAGTTTGTAAAGTTTGATAATTTTTGGCCCAGTTACCGAATTTTCGAATTTCCGCCTCAGCGACTTTGCTCTTGATTTTTCTCTGTGACTCTCGTGCTAATTTTTGACACTTCTCTCTCGGAATATATAGTAGTGCCTACAACGTCACGAAGAGTAGGTTTAGTCATGGAAACCGATGCTGTTTTACCGGACACACCGCCGGAACTGACACAGTCGGAACTCAGTCAGATATTGGAGCAGCCGTCCGTTCCCCCAAGCCAACGTGTCAGACTACAAGAACTGGTTCCGGCTGACGCCTCCTCCGCTGAGAAGCGAGAACTGTTCGCGAACGGTGGTACTGTGTTTTCCGGCCAGTGCAGTCCGGTGGAGGTACGTTGTCTTCTGGCGACCTTGGAAGAGACTGACTTGCGCCGTCTTCGTGAGAAGCTGCACGACAGCCTAGCTACAGCGATCCCCGCCACCGCTGGGCGGCCGCTACGTAGCCGGCAGTCGGGGAACATTAACGCCCTCGCCGACGACTGCTGGGAGCTGGGATACTCCGCCGCTCAGTGCCAGCTTACCCGCCGCACCGACAACCACGTACTTAAGCCGGCCGGTAGAACGCCGCTGCCGTCGTCGAGTTCGGTAAACGAACCTCCCCCCGGTTTGGTCAGCGCTGCTACCGTGGAGACCTCCTTGCGCTCCGTCATTGAGTCGCAGCTGCGGATGGACAGAGAACTGGAGGAGCTACGGCGGCGCGCAGCTGCTGCTGAATCTCAGGGAGCTCGGCTGCAACGTCTTGAGGAGCAGCTGTACGAGCTGCAGCGGGCCTGCGCCGCCCGTGACGCTAGAATCGACGAGCTTGAGGATCAGCTGCGCAGTTCTCTAGGCCGTGAGGCTGCGAACCAGTCACCAGCAGGCGAAGGCACGGCCGCCCAGTTGAACCAGGCACGCTTACCTGCCGCCAGCAGAGGCGACAATGAGACGCAGCCTGCCGGAGCCCGCCCGGTTACCACCGCCAAAGATATCGCCGCCGCGATAGATCTACGAGCGCTTGGGAAGGCAATTGCGGATGCAATCCATTGGCAAACCGGTGACTCAGACTCGGAGAGCAGCTACGAAGTGGGCCAACGACCTGTCCAGCACCAGGGTGGCGGTGCGCCTGTGCCTGCAGATCGACAGAATCCCGTACCATCG